ACCCTAACCCTAACCCTAACCCTACCCTAAACCCTAACCCTAACCCTAACCCTAACCCTAACCCTAACCCTAACCCTAACCCTAACCCTAACCCTAACCCTAACCCTAACCCTAATGTCATACTATATACAGGGTAGCCCTATTTATATTACTATATTGATTAATACTAACAATTATCAACTGTTTAGGTATCAATATAAAAATTTTATATTATTCTATTTGAATAACTAAACAATCTTATTATAATATATATATATAATATCAAAATTTAAAAGTTTATATTATTCAAATTTAAAATTATTCAAAAAGCCTTTTTAATAACAGGATTCTGAAATATAGTTTTTTTCAATTTTATTATTATGATTCTTATTATTATTTTTATTTTTATTATTAAAATCGATTATATATAATTCAATTGCCTTACCACTCTTTCGGCTAATTACTACTCCCCCTGCTCCTATACATTCAACCTTTTATAAAATTAGTACAGATCGATCAATTCAAGAGATAATTTAAATCTGTTTTCAGAATTGAATAAATAAATAAAAATAAACCCTAGTTAATTATAAAATAATTATAAATTTCTTATTCTAAATTGGATTTAGGGTGGTGGTCAAATCGATTCATTTTGCTGGTCACCACTCCCCCCTGCTTCCACAACCTCATCAAACTTAGGGTTATTTCAATTCGATATAAAACCATCAATTTGAAAGGTATCAAAAAAGTAATTTCATATATAGAAAATTCAATTGAATCTCTATTCATTTCTTTTTTCAGATTTTCGAAAACCCTAAAATTGAAGCCAGGAAGGGTGGTGACCAATTGGAGAGTTTTTGGGAGGGTCACCACTCCCCTTAGGGTTGTGGTCACCACCGGTGCTGACCACCAAAAAAATCCTTAGAATAATAGTTAGTATTATTAACATTTTGATTATATAATTCAATTACTTCATATTACTTTTTAGTGATTATTATTACTCTCACTATTTATATATTGAAACCTTTTTGAAATTAATATAAATCAATCAATTTAAAAAATAATTAAAATCTGTTTTCAGAATTCAATAAATTCATTAAAATAAACTCTAGCTTTTTATAAAATATTTATCAATTTCTTATTATATATTAAATTTGAAGTAATAACCAAATTCCTTTATTTTACAAGTTATTATTATTCTGTTTTCGAAAATTATTATAACTTCTATTCAACCTCTTTAACCCTAAGCTTTAAGGTTAACTATATAGATCGATCAATATAAGGAATATCGAAAAAATAAAATCAGATATAAATAATTCAATTGAATCTCTATCAAACCCTTTTTTTAGATTTTCGAAAAGCTCAAAATTGAAGTATAAAGAAGTGGTAACCAAATAATGACTTTTTGAGAGGGTTATCACCTCCTTTAGGATAATAATCACCATCAATGCTAACCACCAAAAAAATCCTTAGAATAATAGTTAGGGTGTTAGCTTTATTCTATTTCATTAGTTTTTATAATATTTTTATAACAATAATATTATTATTATATTATTATTATTAGATTCAACGAATTAAGATATATCGAATGTATTATTTAACTTTCAATTTCTTTTTTTAACTTCAATCGCATATTTAACCTTTATATATATAGTAGTTAGAATAATAATTAATTAATAGCTTTTTAGCTAGATTACTATCCCCCTATCGAAATGAGTCACCACCGCTGGTGACTGTCAAAAAAATCCTAGGAATAATATTTAGGGTATTAGATAATAATTTGAATCCATTTGAATATATAAGTTAAGTTGAATATTTTATTTCTTTGACTCTCGTTTATATTTCCGCTCTCAATACTCAATAAGCTATAAGTATCGCCCGATTCAAACACGAGAACAGTATTATATATATGTAGTACGACTAATGACATAGATTGAAAAACTCAAACTCTATTTTTAAACCTATTCTTTACTAATCCAAGCAAAACTCTAATAATCAAAGATACGAAACAAAACAAACGCCTTTCCCAAAAGCAAGCAAACACTAGATCCCTCTCATATTTTTCTATAATTCGTAATTATTTCTAATAAAGCTGTTGCCAAATAGAGGTTCTTTCCGGCTTAAATGATGGTAAGGTAAATTGAAATTGATCTACCAAAACTCGATCATTTTTTTATTTGAGCCAGATCATGACCTTTTTATGAGTTTGCCGTTCTCTTTTACGTAATCTCCATCCGATTTGGGGTTTCCTTTCCTGTCGTACCTCTGGGGGGTAGATTTAGATGACCTAGATGGTGGAGGATTAGTTGCAGTTGAAGATTTCGAAGGTGTGGATGATTTCTTTGGTCTAGCGGTAGCTCTTTTAGAAGAAGATCTACTTCTCGATTTTTCTCGGCCCTGAGTTGCTGTTCGCCCCGAGCGCTCAGCATTTTCTTCGTTGTTTCTCACAGGAAGCTTCCCTTCTTTCTTGGATTCCGAAACGCTTGACTCAGCAATACCCTTTGTTATTTGTTCGACACTGGGATTAACCTTAGCTTTTCCCGCCGCGACACCTCCTGCTCCCCATGGAGAGATAGGAATTGGTGCCGGCGTTGTAGGTACAGCCTTTTGTTTCTGCTCTGGACTCGGGGTTCTTTCGATTTTTAAAATGTCTATACATGAAACAAGAGCTTCACGATTCATTGATTCGAGCTTTCTAGCGGGGAACCATGACCAAGGCAAGGCCACGCCTGACTCTGGGTCTATATGCTTAGCATTATAAACATATTTAGTGATGGTTCTTTTCTTTTCATCCTGCGTCGTCACCGCTTTCGTGGGTATATGCCCTGTGGCACCAAACTTTCTGTCTGCCTCTTTGTTTCTCTCATTCCGTGAAATTGCTGTCATGGTCAAATGCTCAGTTGTATCCGCCATTGAATTAAACCCACCGGTCTCTGTATAGGTATCGGTTTTATGAACGCCTCTTCTCGCAATAACAAAATGATCCGCGTCCTCATATACTCTGTCTTTGCCTGAGCGTAAGCCTGCCACGTAGTCTGCGTGGTCAAAAGCGACGTTGGCCGCCTCCACAAACTTTCTATCTCCAATTGACCCGTTAAAGACATAGTTCTTGTGCCTATAACGTAGAATATAACCATCCTTTGGGGTAATACCCTGATATATCGGTTTTGTAGTCAATTCCTCGAAAGTTCTGTTGGGCATTTTGAAGAAGGCAATGAATGACCTAGATGGATTGAGTGATAAAATGAGAGAGAATGTGTAGGCAATGATGGAACAGTCAAGTGATCTAGGATAATGGGTGGTTGAATTTGCCGGTTTTGTAGTATTGAATGAAACAGTAGATTGCTAATTGAAGTAGATGTCTAAATGAAAAGATCTAGATTGAGCATTTGATTGTTCTTTATATATGTGAGAATTCCAGTGATAGCCCTTTTCCATGAGGCCATGTTGGTATTCGGATTCGTCCTTCAACCTCGGAATTAATCCTTGATATTATTGATCGGGTCACATCATCATTGTCAAGGAGTGAAGACCTGGCCTTTGATGATTGTGGCAGAAATTGGAAGGAACACTTGATCCTCAACGATGGCTTGTTGTGTCTCTGGCATACTGAATGCTAGTGAATGATTTGTACATATCAGGAACAATCGGCAACAGGCCACTAACCCAGGAGGTGGACTTTGAGAGGAGGGTCTAACGGTGTCGAACAGAGGCCCTACCTAGACCCAGTTTACGTACAGGTACGATCTTAGATAGATGGGTAAAAAGAATCAAAATAACAATGGATGGGCTGTCAGGTTCGTCATGAAGAGTCCCACAGGCTCTGAGGTCACCAAACATACGGGATAATTATAATGATCCAATTCCGGGGCTCAGTGAGAGCAACTGCCTTGTCATTGTAACGAACTATCCAAGTCTAGCTGCTGAAACTGCATGCAAGACAGAAGGGTTGAAGCAGGATGCTTGCTAAATTGTCATTGCGGCTATCTTCAGTAGTGTAGTCAAAGGGTGATGTAACTTTTATGGCAGACCTAGCCCAAACCGTGGTTGGCGGGTCATCAATATCGCGACCCAATACCCACTCAGTGCAAAGCCGGGAAAATTACTACCACCCGATATTATGTATAGGTAGCTATACTCTTGAGGCTAAATTTAATAGAAAGTCCAAATTTTGAGATTGAAGCATGGAACAATTGCATTGAACCTGAATGTTAAAGTGTCATGCTAAATATCACGCGTAGCTATTTAATAATGTGCAAAACTTCCGGCACCTAGCTCTAGGTTTGCAGAATTACCATTTAAAAAATCTGATCCGGCGTACAGCACCTATGTCAAACCACATCACTCGAGCCGCTGACAATAGGTATCTTACGTATTTTCTTTATCTGTACGTAGCAATATTCATAACATGTTTGAAACCATAAGATTTTGATGTCAAGATATAAGGTCTGATAGTAGGTGTGGTGGTCTGAATTGACTAAAAAGTTGGTTGGATATACGTGATTGTGGTTCCGTAAATTGCTTCTGCGTGCTTATATCAATCGTCTGTTAGGGTTGTCTAAATTCACACCCATGCATTTCAGCGACCTTTTTTAGACTAGTTCTGCTGAAGCTGTCAATGTGTCAACCGTATATATAAATAGCCACTCGTTGTCGTTTGCTTTATGATTAAAAGCAGTAAAAAAACCATAGACTTTATTTATTTCGCAACTGTCTTATGAAGAAAATTGAAATTCAAATTAAACATCAACAAATTTAACTATCGTCCCCCAGAGATGACATTTCGATGTGAACTCAGCGATAATGGTAAAGCAGAATCTCTTCAAGGATACGTGAAAGGTGTTCTCTTTCCAATCGACAGTCTTCCTTATAAATTGAGTGAGAAGTACCGCATTATTACAAAACTTGGCTATGGGGGATTCTCTACTGTATGGCTTGCGATCGGCATTCACGAGGAGTAAGTAACTTTGACTACACTCAGACATTCCAAGTCACCAATAAAATCCAAAACATTTAACTTCTCATTTCAAATGTCATATACTGATCAATAAAACTCTACAGCAATCTGGGTCGTTGGTTTGCGATCAAAATCTCCCAGTCAACTAGCGCCGACGAGCAGAGTCAACTGAAAAAAGAAATGAAAAGACTTGAAAATAAGAGCTCGAGAATCGTTCCATGCATTGAAACTTTCAGAATTGTATCCTCTTACAATGCTAAACAAACTCACCTTTGCCTCGTGTTGAAAGCATCTGGACCATCTGTAAAAGAATATATATCCAACAAAAATCCGACATTTGATCAGAGAAGGCTCATCGCTATAAATTGTACAAAAGCATTGATGGACTTACATAAACAAAATATCTTTTTGATTGGTGAGTCCCCCAACACATACTTCCTAAGATGACGCCCTATTGTACACATGCACTTTGATATGTCTAATGATGGACAGATCTAAGCTCAGGGAATTTTCTGATGAAAATTCACTCCTCCGACATTAGGGAGCTTTCGGAAACACAAATAGAAGAGAAAGTTGGTGTTTGCGAATCCAAACCTGTCGAAACACAACACGCATCAATTAAACTCCCAGAGTATGTACCCAAGCGAATATATAAATCGACGCCTTTATATTCGCTGGTCGGAGAGGAGTTGGATATTGATGTTATTGATGTTGTTCCACATTCCAGTGCGCCTCTAGGCCGCACGCAAGCATACTCCTCTCCAGAGGTATTGGAACAGAAACCTTCCACCATACAGTCTAATATATGGGGCCTGGGATGTTTGGTAAGTACCACACCTCCCCTCATTCTTTAAGACTATCATGACAATGAATTATCAGATTTGCGAGATCATGACTTTAGGAGAATTGCCATTTGAAGATGGACATTATGTGCCCAGTGCCCAAGACGATTACTTTGGTAAGTCTATTTCCTGAACATTATAGCGTTTGTTGAACTCTCAATCTCATTTTGATTATAGACGAAGATGAGAAAGGAAAGATTAAATACCTGTCCAAAGTATGTCATAATCCTCGTAAACGCCATCATACCCTTGATATAGACCAAGCAAAAGACGTTGCGAAATTCCTGGGGAAGATTTTTGTTAGGGATCCGGCTTCACGTCCTACAGCTGAGACCATTTTGGATTGTCTGAAAGACCCCAAATTTTTAGGTAAAAAGCCATCTGGAAGTGGGAAAAGAAAAGACTCAGCTGTGTCACTTAGTCCCGGACCTGTAAAAAATTCCACTTCGAAGACTTCGAGCCCGCCGCGATATAAGACGACAAAAGACGTTTCTCACTCCAAAAGTAGGACGATCGTAGTCCCGAACACTTTTCCGACGGACACTATAACCTTACCAGACCGAAAGAAGAGCTCAAACCCTGCAATTCAACCAAAAAAAGGTACCGCAACTGAAAGCACTGGAACCGAACAAAAAGAGAGGAAGAACTCTAGAAGGGGAGCCGAAAGTAGTGAGCCGTCGGGTGCTCGCAGGAAACTTTGATTCATCTTTGAGGCACGGCAATAGAATAATGAATCGAGGACACGATTTAGAGCTGCGTTCTCACTCTTGATTGCTATTTCATACTTTTGACATATATCATTTTGTCATCATGCACCAACTCCCCTATTTATCGTGTTGAAGTTCCATCTTCTAGTCTGGTTGATCTCGACTTCTAACTTTCAATTTTGTATTAGTCTGTAAGAACATGTCATCACACCATTTAACACTCAGCCTACACAAGCACTTCGTGATATGGCATGCCATTGGCCTTGAAAGTTTTTAGGGTTGTCCTAGATAAATTCGTGATGCTGCATGCGATTGTCCCCTGAAGGTTGCTTTCCAACAGGCTTATTCATTCAAATTATAACTCTCATCTGAGACATCTTTCACTTAAACGACATCCTGCATCTCTTGATCAATATTGGGGCTTTTTGCGATTGTTTATATGCAAACTATATGTAGAGTTACAGAAGTAGAGAAAGTAATTCTCCGTATCGTATAAGCACTTAGTTCGAACGACTCGGATCACATATTACCTCCTTCCGAATTTCGTTAATATAGAGTTCGCTTATTACCACGGCCGATAACACGTATTTAAACAATATACTAAAAATAGATTTATGCTTAAACTAAAATATCTTCTATATAGTGTATCTAGAATAAAAAGAAATTCGATTTAGTATACAATATTATAGGAATTGATAAAAAAAAAAAAAAAAAAGAGAGAATAGTTAATTAGAGTTGAAGAAATCAATGTATATAACTCTTTTTGAAAAATCTTAAAATCGGAATTTGTATTGAATTTAAGAATATCTGAAAAATCAAAGGTTCAAAATTAAATTCAATCCCTTTTCGAAATACTTATATACTCAAAATAAATTTCAATTTTTGAGATTATTTACAAAGAACTAGATTAATCGATTTCTTAAATTCTAATTAACGAGCTTTTTCTCGGCCCTTTATAGTTAAAAATAATAACAGTCTTGCTAAAACTCTCCGTAGTTATTTTTAATACTATTAGAATCTATATTTACACTTATACTATACAGCTTCTAAAATCCTAATTAAAATATGAATTTTAAAGCTTTTAAAGCTATTCAGAGATTATAAGCTTTTTAAAGTAGTGATCTATATACAAACTTAAGTAAAGTGTATATTGAACCCCGAACTTCGAATAATAATAATAATAATAATAATAATAATAATAATAATAATAATAATAATAATAATAATAATAATAATAATAATAATAATAATAATAATAATAATAATAATAATAATAATAATAATAATAATAATAATAATAATAATAATAATAATAATAATAATAATAAATAGATTTCGCTAGCCTCTCGCTTCTAGCTCACATAAGGGCGCCGAAGGCGTCTTTAAGCCTAAATTTAATAAATCTAATAAATCTAATCTCTTCTTATAAATCTAATAAATCTAATCTCTTCTTATAAATCTAATAAATCTAATCTCTTCTTATTAATCTAGTAAATCTAATCCCCTCCCCTTTCTAATCCCCTCCCCTTTCTAATCCCCTCCCCTTTCTAATCCCCTCCCCTTTCTAATCCCCTCCCCTTTCTAATCCCCTCCCCTTTCTAATCCCCTCCCCTTCCCCCCCTCTTTCTAATCCCTTATCTTTTTTATCGCAAATCCCAAATCTCCGAATCAATCAAAAATATTTATTCAATTTTTTTAATCCACTCTCTAATTAATTATTTCTTTTATTAAGCTCGGGGAGTTCTCCTTGTCGATTTCCGGCGCTACCATCATATCATTATGCATAAGCAAGGTTATCGTCTGTTCCATAATCATTTCTCCATATCGATACAAAATCGATACGCTCTCGATCTTCAAACTACTTGATTGGTGAGAGATATAATACTATCGTAATGGCTCGAGAATGGTTAGGCCATTTCTTCACAAGCCTGTTCAGTAATGTAAAAATGAGGCACAGCCTTCAACCACCTACTAAGACGGAACACGAGAATGACGGTTCCAAACTATCGGGAATTGCCAACAAAAGTTATCAATACCGTATTGACAATATTTCGGGTATGCTCGGTGATATTTGGCAATTGTCAAAAAGCTGTGCCGCACTCCTCTTCTTATATAAGCTACTACTTTCTGCCATTCCCATTCCAACCCACCAGCATTTGTGTCGAGTTTTATACAATCAATTTCTCAATTTCAAAATGACCGAGTGTGTTTCCATTGAGAACAGTGGCCTCTCTGCGCGCTCTCGTCCCAAAGTAAAGGCATTCGTACCCGTGCTCAAAAACGTTGACAAAAACTTCGTGATTGGGTCCGAAATTGATGTCGATATGGCAATTGGTCATAATTGGCTTGTACGAAAGCCATTGATTGCCATATTCAAAGAGGCCGTTAAAGATATCACCGAGAAGGTATGAGATATCTGACCTTGCTGGCAGCTCATAAGCTGTGCCTCTAGGCGTGCTATTTTTCCGCCACAGACACAATATCTCATTGCTAATGATATCAAGGATCTTAATTACCCTCTTGGAGTAGGGGGACCCTCTCCAGTGCTAACCGCTTTCGCCTCGTTCTTCAACCAATTCTTTTCTCCGTCCATTCCTATCGAGCCAGATCATGTAGTCACGTTCTCCGGTGCAAGCACATGCTTGGATGGCTTACTATATGCAATATGTGACGAAGGAGATAGCATTATTTTACCATCACCTTTTTGGGGTAGGCTTGTTCTTTTCATATTCCCTCCTGTTGGGTTTATAAATACGCTACAATTTAATATTCGGACCAATCTGACAAGAACCAGCCGGCTATGTCCCATTTACCAAGTTCCGCGCCAATGTCAATATTGCTACCACATCAGATGTTCCATGGCGTTCAACCACATCTATCGACATTGTGGCTGCGGTAAAGAAAGCGTACTCTAGTGCTCAAGACTCAACACGGATCAAGGCATTACTTATGGCCAATCCACACAATCCGACTGGAAAATGCTACCCCTCATCGGTGATTCGTGAGCTGATGGTCTTTTGTAAAGATAACGGGTTGCATTATATATCGGATGAGATATTTGCTATGTCTTCCTTCAGTAAAGATGAAGAGGGCCAATTCACTTCTGCACTGTCACTCGTTAGTGATAATGAGGAAAGCCCTATGGATCCAAGTCGTCTACATGTGATCTACAGCATGAGTAAAGATTGGGGATCACCGGGTCTAAGAATGGTAAGTGGTTACAAAACACATTCTTGGTGCAGCTTTTATCCATTCTTGCTCCGCGATACTTTACACTTTATTGCTTTAGACATTCATTTCTGATAAAGCTTCAGGCTTGCCTCGTTTCTTCACGTAACCGTCCTGTTCTCGAAGGCAGTTGGATCTCGAACTACATGCAGACGTCTAATCTAAATAACGTCTGTGTCACGGCTCTCTTCCACTCTCCCAACCTTCCCTCTATTATTAGTTCTCTCAAAAATCAACTCACACGTAACTATGGATGGCTTACCAAAGCGTTGAATAGGTGGGGGATTGAGTATATTCCCACTCATGCTGGATTTCATATCTTTGCAAGGTTGGTAAAAAATGCACAAAGCTGGGACGATGAAGCTGCGGGTGTTAAACAATTATTCGATGCGGGTATCATGGTGACTCCTGGCAAGAGCTTCGGTGGTATTGATGGGGAGTTCGGATGGGTTCGTCTATCGTTCTCAATTGAAGAGAAGAAATTGCGGGAGGGATTATGGCGAATTGGGCAGACTCTAGGCTTTGAAAATGATAGGGAAAAGTTTGAACAGACATCTTGTGGTGTTTAAGTGTACCTTACTACATTGAGGTATTTTCTGATGGCATTTAAATTCAAAAGCTCCATTTCAAAGTTGATAACTGAAACTACCGCAGCGCATTGACAACCAATTGTTACACAAGAAAATTTCATCAACCCTGGCTTCTGGTATCTAGCTGGCCCCCAATTCAACAGATTTGACAACAGATGCCCCGATCTGAATCAAGCTTGCTCCACCCAGGATTTCAAAAATTGCGATGTCTGATGCAAATTTCCTAGCGATCTAGTTAGGTATTTCTACCCCTGAAAAAGTGTTGATACCAGAGTTTACTAGAGGCTGGAATAAATCAATGTCATAATTTGTCAGTGAAGTCGAGGACGTTGAGAGAAAGTGAGAAAGTCTCACCCGCAGCAAGTGTGCTATTACGGGTGCTACATTCGAGAATGAGTATACGATGAAACGAGACTTGAGTTCTGTAAGCTTTTAAGCCTGCGTCTTTGGTGAAGGGGTCTTAATATCGAGCCTTTCTTTGTGTAAGTGATTGAATAGTGGGGGCATTGCCTTGTCGCGTTCTTCATCAGTCTTATCTGGTGCTTTCAATCCAACGAGAAGTTGGCTACGGCTTCCGTCAGAGGCAACACTCCCCATCGCTCCGATTAACCCTCAGCAGCGACAATACTCAAGCAATGCATGAAGATGATCTTTAAAGATTTGGCAGATTGACCGCTTTTCATCAGTTGCTCGGTCAATTTCTCATACGGGCAAGGTAACCAGCATCACCAACGACACCGGGGTCAATCGTGATATTGTTCTTATAATCAAGAAAGGTTCGGTAACCTGCTAGTGCATCTTCAAAAGTATTACCAGCTGTATAGTTAGCTTGGCTTACTTCACCAAAAATGCCGCGAAGTGATGAAAATAGCACAAAAAAAATCAAGGACATGCGGCAAGAGCGTGTGAAGACTCCAGGGCCCCCCACATTAGGCCTGATCGCAGAAGCCCAGAAACAAAGGCTCATATTTGCGAAGAGAGAGTCCTAATGAACAAAGTTTCGCGTTAGACAAAGCACAAAATAGACAGAAAAGAGATTTACAAGTGCCTCTACGTAAGCAAAAAAACAGGCGGGAATTGACCACCATTCGAAAGACCTTCAACAACTAAGATCTCTCTTCGATATAATATTAAATAATTCTTGGAGTTTAGCTTTTATAATAATAAGAATGATTATTATTATAATAATAGTGGAAGATCTAGTCAATTTAGACTTAGAAACGAAACGAATATATAATATAAAAGTTAGATTGAAATTAATTTATAAGAGCTATACTGAATTAAGGTGAACTTACTTGCTTTTTCTAGGTTTTCTTTAGCCTTATTATAGAGTTTCATAATAATAAAACCATTTAAAATCAATATAAAGAAGACTCAAATTTTTGTTTGCTTTTTTAAAATTTCAATATTTAATTTGAAATGAATTTGTAATCTATTAAAAAAGTGCTTTGAAAACTTACTCAATTTCCGCCTATTTGTTCGCTTACGTAGAGAGTATATATTCAAGACTATAGATGTCTAAATACATTCTCTTATAGTAGACTGAAACTTAGTAGAGCACTATCTGTTTCATAAGGTTCCTCTCATATGCTTAAGCTTACTGAGCAACAAGATGGAGCCGGTGGGCACCAATTCTTTTAGGGTATGTTTGTTTATATTTGAGATATTCAGTGGCTGGCGTTTGGCGCCCATTCAGGGCTTATCGTAAAGGTAGAATTATAAACAGAGGTATCAAAGTCATTCTCCCTCAACTATATTCCTTTCTAGGTAACTCGCATATTAATAGAGGTAGGGATTACAATATCACTCAAGATGCTTATATGGAATTTAGAACACGATATATAGCAATTGTAAGGGATATAAAGGCTGGGTCAACACAGTATCTATTATATAGATATATATATAGTAGTAAGCTATCAGGAATCGATCCCTGATACTGTGCCTTTTAGGACAGATTTCGTGCGTGGCGTAGTAGTAAAGCTTACAACTCCTATTATATCCGCTTACGTAACAGCATCTAGTATAATAAGTTCCTTCAGAGTATAATAACTAAATTGAGCTGATATCAGTACAGGCAATAGTACTTCACGTAATCAATATACAGGTTCGTATGATAATACTTATCAGATTTCCTCAAAACATTGATATATATAATATCAACTCTTATATTAGTAAAGATATTTAATATTAAAGTAATTATCCCCTAGACTGTCACTCCATGGCACCTTCGCTTAAAAGGATCTAATTGACCAATCAGATCATCAGGATTTTGAGAATTCTTATTATTTTGATACGTTTTTTTGTAATAATGATTCAACACTTATAATTTCAATAAAAAAAATTAATACCTTTTTAAAATCTTTATATAATCTTTTATCTGTTCTTTCTTTTTTCAATAAATATTGAATTTTTGATTTGATATATATTTTTTGATATAAATTGTATAAAAATCGCGTACAAATTTCTCTGGATTTCAAAGGTGAAATATAATAATATTTATAAAATCTTAAAATCATTATTTTACAATTAAAAAACTATAGAGATATAATTAATATATTTAATATAATTTTTTCAATAAATTCTAATCTTTAAATATAATATCAAAACTTTTATATATAATATCATTTATAAGGTTATTGATTTTCTTGCTCAGTGCACGGACCACAAAGGTGCCATGGAGTGACAGTCTAGGGGATAAATATTGAAATACTAAAGTCTAATCTGAAATATCTGTTTGTATATATTCCTATCTATATTAGACCGAATTTTATATATTCTTATCTATATTAGACTATGAAATAGATATTTCATTTCGATTTAAGATTAGGAGTATATAAAATTAAGTATTTTAGAAAAGATTCTAGTATTTTAATATATCTTTATAAATATAATATTTATATTATACCTATAGGAGTAATATGATTTTATCTGAATATATACTAGCTATTGTTTTGAAAGCTTTATATATACTACTATTATCACGAAGGTAATAGCTATATCTAATGGTCACTTTGATTAAGGAATAGGTATATAGAATAATAATAAACTAGATTGACTTAAAATATAATCCTAATAATCATACCTACTTTATATACCCTGATCAAACGAGATACTCACCTAATTAGATATATAGAGTATACAAATAAAATGAATAAAATAGTATTAATAATTATAAAAATGAATATTTCAAAGGAATATTAAGATTAGTACTTATAAGATTACACTATACAATAAATTCTATAATATACCCTTTAAATCGCTAGATACTTTAATAGTTACATCAAAAAATCTATATAATAAATAAAGAAAAAATTCTTAAATAGTAAACAGCATAAACATCAATAAATGCTTTATTCAAATAATTATTATGAATTTACCTACCAAATAAATTTATTTATTAAATAAAAGAATATAAAGCATATAAACATATAGAGTTTTTTATAAAAAAAAAGAATAAATTACATTATTAATTCGAATAATCTATAAAAAAATAATAATATTAAAATAAAAGAATTAATTCTTTGAATTGATATATATCAGGAGGTTTATGTTATATTGATTATTATTAACTAAGTATTTATATTAATTAATTTAATTGATTTATATATACAACACTTTTGTAGTAACAACAGAATTAAATAGAAATTAATAGATTTTAAAGAAATATAGTAAATCAAAATAATTATAAAAGAATAACAATTCCCTTTTTTTAATTTTTATATTCAATAATTCGATATGTTTTTTAAATATACCTTCTCCTATTAGAAAATCCTTTAATTCCATTGATATTTCTAATTGATATACAACCGCCTTCCTGTATAATATATTAAAAAGTAATATTCAATTTAATGGATTTAGTATTTAGTATACTTTTACTTAATTATTATCTTCAGCTAAAATTCAATTATCTTTTAATAAAAAAAATTCGTAAATAAAGCCTTTTTTTAATAAATTTCAACAAAATCTCAATAATAACTTTTTGAAAAAGGTTAAAGTTATTTGCTGTATGGACAAGGGAATTCATTCAAGGGAATTCACTTTAAAGGATTTACTTCAATATAATGATAACTGTATTAAGAGTATTAGGCGAAAGCGAAGGAGACTAGCTCTTTCAGTAGTGTCTATATAAGGCCTATTATTTCCCTCATTTAACTAGCTCCTTAGATTGAATATAAATAGACATTTAGGGGCCTACATATAATGAAAACTACATTTTTTGTATCTCTCTCAAACCAATACTAATTAATAATATTATAAATTATTTAATTTATTTATTCGAAATACCTTTTCACTCTTACTTCTTTTATTTTCCATTATTAGTATTATAATATTCCGGGTAAGTATTAATACTAGCTTTAAGCAAGCCAATAAGAAACTCAATCTTAATAAGAAATCTAATACTAGTAAGAAATCAATTCTATTTAATCAATTTACCAATATAAAAGAATATATCAATATAACAATCAATAATATTAATTCTTTATAAATAAATTTCAATACTTCCTTTTACAAAAATCTAAATCTAATCAATACTCCTTCTTATTCTCATTTTATTATTTCCTCTGACCCTTATATTCCTCTTAATAAAGCATTAATTAAAGAAAAAAAAGCTTAGAAAACTAAGGATTTAAAATTTAAAAAAGAATTTCAGGATTATGTTTTTTTAAAGAATCTCAATAAAACTAGGCAATTCTACAAAGGATATACATTCAGATTGGGAATAGAATATTATATTAATAAATACTTTCTTTTTAAAAAGACTATATATTTAAATATAGGGATTACTGATATACCTTTTCAAAATACAGTTATATCCAATTTCGATTATATTTATAAAAGCATATTAAGGAATATTAATAAACTAATATTATATAACTTTTATATAATCTTATAATATTATAAAGTTTATATTAATATTAATATAAATATTAAGGATATTCTTATAAAAATATTTAATTATAATAAATATCATAATTAGA